GAGTTACTGACTTGAAGTTAGACGGGTATCTAGGTACTTAAAATATGAGGCAAAATACTCACGTCACTCTCACGACTCAGACGCCTGAAGAGTTCGTCGGTTTCGAATTTGTTCTTCTGGTCTGGCACGACCCGCGGCATTTTGAATATGAACCGAGGCTTAGGTGGCTGCTGTTCGTAGAGCCCGCCGCACATCGGGTCAAACGGCATCATACCGGTGGCCATCGACCCCAAATCGTTCATCATCAACATGGTTTCAGAGTATGATTATCGAATTTACGCTTATCGCGCGTATACCTATACAGGTAAGTGCTTGCAGTGGATCCTGTGAGATCAGAACTCAACGCACACGAATCGTCTCGGGTGGGTACCAAAATAAAATACGAAGTGTACGTGCAATGATCGTGTGGTGATGTGGTGTGCTAGTGAAAATAATAAATTACTAATAAAAAAAATTTAAGCATGCGCTCGCAGAAGCGGTCGGMACGACGACGCGGGACCGTTTGAACGCGCGCGGACGAGGCGACGGCAGCAGCGACGAGTTTCTGAGGGGCGCGCACGTCCGTCCCGACCGAACGGACCAATAGCGAAATTTCACGAGCAGTTTGATCTCCGCCCATCGTTAGCGGCGGTGGTGGCGGAGACGAAAGAGAGAGAGAGAGAGAGCGCCAGAGAGAGTTCTTGGATTTTCACCCTTCGCCGTGACAGCGACTGCTCAACGTCTTACAACCATAATATTAGTAAACCTCACTGCAAATTGCAATATTGTACACGACGAGAATAATAAATTAAGACAATGTTTTTATGGATCGTCGGTGTTCACATTATTATAATTTATAATATAAACATTAAGCACTACATCACTCTGACATAATATGTGTAATATCAGTGTAGAATATATAATATACTCAGCAATAATAATAGTAACAATATATTATTGCAGTATAGCCAAGGACCAACAACCGAAACTCATTGATGGAAAATGTATAACACTCAACTTATTAGGTATAGGTAAATACTATAATTTTAATTTTAAATCGATCGGAAAATTATGTCAAGTCGGTTACTAGTGTTATTACATTTTCATACATTATACACATAACCATTTATTTAATATACCTGCAGTGAGTAGCKACTCAAAATATTTTTCTTTCGAACTTATATAATATATATTTACAAATTTAAAGTTGAGATAAATGTTAAATATTTTATACTGCATTTTTCATCGATTGTTTGCGGTTGTGTGCTATATGTATATGTTGGCGATAAATAGTGATAAGCTGTAACGGGTCCGCCGTGTACCTATCATTTATATGTTATTTTTCTAGAGCCCCATTACACATCCATCCACTGCCGTCCTAAAAATTGATAAGCTTTCTATCGCCAATAGGCAATATTATGGCCATTCATAAGATTTTTATTTTTTTGAACACCAATAGAAATATTATTTTAAAGTGAAATAATGATGTTATAAATATTAGAATTTTACGTGATTAAACAAAGTAGATATTTAGTATTTAGGTACACAATAAATAACTAGAATACTATGCCAAATAAAACAAAAACTAATTAAATAAACTTAAAATAAATTATCAATTATTGTATAYGCATATACCTACACCTATATGACTATACATTATAGTCTTGGTAATTTTAAGAAATTAAACAGAGTATAGGTATCGATGGTATTGGCAGTAGACTGCTACCTAGCCGTTATTAGGACGTTATCAATAACTTTTTTAATGTGAGACATTTATTATTTTATCCTCTTCCTCAAGTAGTTCACAGCTAACGGGTTAACGCCACTATCAACTACCTATATTCGACATTTCCCATAAGCCCTAACACTCCTAACTCATAAACGTATATTAATAGGTTATGCTGTTTAAATCAAAAGGTTAGTGACGAGTTAAAATACTTACTAATGTTTGGGTACCTGATAAAAAGTTTACGTCCCCCATGTCGGAAAATATAAATTTTAAATTCCAATCAAATTGGATTAAACGATTTCCGTGGTTATGTTAAACTAAAATGCAAGATTCTGGAGCGGTGTATAAATATTTTGCTGTATTTTATCATAACTTTATCGGTAAAGGAGCACATCAAAAACCAGGATTATTGGTGACAAAACCTTTCAATAAATGGAAAAATGCAATAGAAAGTTTTAACACACATAACAACATAGAGTGTCATAAAAATAACGCTGTTATTGCAAAACATTTTATTTTCGTGTATTGCCACAAAGAGTTAGATATTCGTCAAAAAATCGATTCTGCATGTGCTAACCAAATTGCAGAAATAAAAAAAAATGAATACCCATTATTCAAACTAATATATTGTGTGGCCGTGAAAAATTAACACTTCGTGGTGTATCTGACGCTGTGCCACTCACACTAGATAAGCTAATTTACTGATGGTACTTTTAGAGCTCTTATGCAAATGCGAATGAACTAGGGCGATAAAAATATGATAACCGGTCGTATGCGGCCCATTGTAGATTTTAATGCGGCCCTCACTTCAATTTAAAAACCATGAATTAATTGTATGTAATATATTAATATTACGAGAACAAATTTATTTTAAGAATATAAAAGTGTAAAACATCAAATAAACTGTAAAGGCCGATGCACACATCCGTGTTTTTAACGTTACGACAACTTATCTTAATATATTACATACGGACGGTTCACATTATATTATAAAACTAATGACTTTTAATTTTTTTTAACTAAAACTTTTTTGATTATAAATAAAGATATTTTTCTGTGTAGATACCTACTTATAATTAAATATTAATACTTGTAATAATATTTCTGCTTATTATTCGCTATAGTGAAATTATAAAAAAATGTATTGTTGTATTATAGAAAATAATTTAATCATTAAATTTGAATGTATTATTATTTAAAAGTATGTAGCCCATTACAACTTCTACCGATATGATGTGGCCCAATCTTCAYAAAAGGTTGRACACCCCTGATCTAATGTGTCATATAMATTTTCCACAATGGTGCTTTTTTACGCCTTTACCAGCTTAAGTTTTGACCACTTGAACTCTTCTCGTTTTGTCTCGAAACTATCTAAGGTAGCTTTAATAATTTTTTTTGAAACACTCTATAGAAGGCGGGGAAAATAAAGTGTGAGTGCATTTAGATCAGGTGAGACCTCCAGTAAACTTACTTTCACTTATTAGCTGTGTGAATTGCATTGAACCTACAACTCTCTTTGATTTTAGCTAAAAAATCAATCACACGTTTTTCTAAGTCTGATTTTTCAGTATGTAGTATTGGACAATTTTTAAGCAATTCATATGACTTATTGAAATTGAAAWTTGACTTTACTGCTGATAACTACGTGATTCGTGCGTGATAGGGAATAAAAGATTTTACATAACACATTAAACATTAACACAATATCGTGCAAAATAATTTTCTCTGAACCACGTTGTTCCATTAGGATAAATATAATATATAAATAAATCATACGGTATTTCGTTATCTATTCTATTCACATTCAATTTTTAACGATATGGTAAAACTAAAAAA